TCATTGTTGTTTGGTGGTCCCCGGCTGGATTTGAACCCACCACCTTAGGTGTATGTGGCTGGTGCCTTAGCCACTTGAGCCACAGGAGCCGAGCCCAGAGTCTCACTTTGTCACCTTGGGTAGAGTGCCGTGGCGTTGTAGACTGCAGCACCCTCAAACTCTTGGGCTGGAGAGATTCTCTTGTCTCAGCCTCCTGAGTAGCTAGGACTATAGGTGCCCACCCCAATACCCTGCTGTTTTTAGAGAGAGGGTCTCGCTCTGGCTCAGGCTGGTCTAGAACTAGTGAGCTCAAGTGATGTGCCCACCTTAGCCTCTCAGAGGGCTAGGATTACAGGTGTGAGCCACTGCACCTGGCTAGTACCTAGCATTTTGTATCTTGCTTTTTTCCCCTTAAAAATATGTTCTCGAGGCTTGGTGCCCGTGACTCAATGGTTAGGGAGCTGGCCACACACACCAGGGCTGGTGGCTTCCAACCTGGCCTGGGCCTGCTAAACAACGACAACTACAACAAAAGAAAAAAATAGCTGGGCATTGTGGCCGGCACCAGTAGTCCTAGCTACTTGGGAGGAATTGCAAGAGAATCGCTTAAGCCCAAGAGTTTGAGGTTGCTGTGACCTGTGATGCCATGGCACTCTAGGGAGGGCAAGCGACATGTGAGATTCTGTCTCAGAAAAAAAGAAAAAACTCACTCGGGGGCTGGGCATGGTGGATCATACCTGTAATCCTGGTACTTTGGTAGGATGAGGTGGGAGGATTGCTTGAGGCTCAAAGTTCAAGACCAGCCTGGTAAACATTGAAGACATCTTTTCTTCAAAACAACAACAAAAAAACCCACCAAAAACAAAAACAGGTCATTCAGCTGCCCAGAGTTGGGGGACAGCAGGTGGAACTTGCTAGCCCAGTAAAGCAGCAAGCTGTACTGTGAATTTCATGTATTTATGCAGGGCTTAGAGGTCAGTTAGGGGAGGCCCAGCTCTTTCTACAGTTATCAAGGTGCCTGTGATCCATCATCTCACTGCAGCCCTCCTGAATCCCTTCTGCACTGACAGCTATTCTACCCAACAGCCCGCCTTTGCCTGACATCGGGCCTCTGTCTGACCACTCAGCCTCCCCAGGGGTCTCCCTTTACTCACTCCAGCTCCAGCCAAGCTGAAGGCCCTGGGAATATCCTGCCCATCTTGTCTCCAGACCATCCTCAGCTTCTCCTCCTCTGTGCCCCCACCCTGTCTATGGCACCTACAAGAGCCAGCATGTCATGTAAAATGCACCCTCTCTGATGTGCCCTTGCTGAAGAGGTTGTTCTCTGGAGATGGGCGACAAGTACAACCTCCTTGGGTTGAGTGGGGCATATTGGAATCTGCCCCCCTGGTGCCTGAGGCTCCTTGCTCCCCGGCCTCTCCTATGGAGGGTGTCCTAATGCCGTTCCTGCCCAGGGACAAGGGAATTGTCAGGGCAGAGGATGGGGAAGAACTATCCCTTTGGAGAGTGGACCATGATCACATTTCACTTTTAGTAGTCCCCTTGGACCAGATTTGACACCTGCTCTTTACAGATGAGGCAGTTGAGATTCAGAAGTCATTGATTTGCCACAGGTCACACAGATTGTGTGGGTCGGATCTGATGCTCAGTCCAGGTGTGTCTTGTCTGAAAGCTGGTGTTCTGTCCACTGCCCTGTGGCAGGCTCATCTCTTCCATTCTGTGTCCTCTATGCCTCACCCAGGGTCAGCCTGTGCCCTGTGCACACTTGGTGCTGAGTAAATGAAAGCGCCCCAGTAGAGGTGGGGTCCGGGGCTGCCCGCGGGCAGGGGCTCCCTTTGGGAACCTTCTCACTCTCCCTGCCTCACTCCTTTTGCCTGCCCCCGTCAGATCTGGAGAGCAGAGACTGCAGCTCCATGGTGCCAGCAGAGAAGACTCGAGTGGAGAGTGTGGAGCTGGTGCTGCCCCCTCACGCCAATCACCAGGGCAACACGTTTGGGGGCCAGATCATGGCGTGGATGGAGAACGTGGCCACCATCGCAGCCAGGTAAGGAAGAGCATGCTGCCTCTGCCTCTCCACCTTTTCCTTCCTCCTTCCCTCAGCCAGCTCCCTGGGGAGCAGAAACCCGGACTTGGTGTTGGCATTCAAGGCTTCTGAAAGCTTAGCTATTCTGTTAGGGTAACTCACAGCATTCAGACCCAGAGAACCAGAAAGGAGTGATTTTTGGTGAAGTGACCATTCCTTCCTCCACTCCAGAAGCCCTCCACAGCCCCTTTGCTTACATGGGGAACACCCGGCCTGCTGACCACTAGAGCCTCCCCTTGATCGAGCCCTGCCTGCATTCCTCTCTGTAGCCACACTTGCCTCTCCCCTACTCTCCCAGCCCTGCCTTTCCTCCTGCTGTCTCGTCCTGCCATACAGCCCCTGCTATTGTTTGGCTGCTAAAATCCTGTTTAGCTCCTCCATAAGCCCGTGGCTGACTGTTTCCTTCTTTTTAGAAGTGAATATCATCTTTGTCTTATTACCTCTGTGCCTGTCTAGGGCTTGTTCTACCCCGAATGTCATGAAATTTTGTATGGTTGGGTGACTGACATTCACTAATTGATACTCTCCCAGCTCTGTGCCTTTGTACTTGCTGTTCCCTCTACCAGAAGAACCCTCCTCAGCTGGGGAGATTCTTCCTCATCCCGTGGAGCTTGGCTCAAGGGCCCCTCCTCCTGTGGGAGGCAGTGCCCAAGCAGTGCCATTTCAGGCGGCTTCCACTGGAGTGCAGTGAGATTCTGGAGGAGGGCGAGAGCCTGCTGTCAGGGAAGGCTGCCTAGAGGAGGAGTGCCTCCTCGGGTGAACCAGTAGCTTTAGGCAAGGTGGGGTGGCCTTCAGGTAGTGGGAGCAGCAGGTACTAAGGTTGTAAAAGTTGGAAAGAAAATGGGGAAGGGGGTTTATCCCCAGCCCTGCTGAGACTTTTCTCTGCCTCCTCAGTCAGCTCTTTTTCTGCCATGCACCTAGACCTCCCTATTCTATCCTGTGAAATAGGACTTTAGGGCGGTGCCTGTGGCTCAGTGGATAGGGCGCCAGCCCCATATACCGAGGGTGGTAGGTTCGAACCCCGCCCTGGCCAGCTAAAACAGCAACAACAAAAAAAAAAGGGCTGGGTGTTGTGGTGGGTGCCTGTAGTCCCAGCTACTTGGGAGGCTGAGGCAAGAGAATTGCTTAAGCCTAGGAGTTGGAGGTTGCTGTGAGCTATGATGCCACCGTACTCTACTGAGGGTGACAAAATGAGACTCTGTCTCAATAAAAAAAAAGAAAAGAAATGGGACTTTAGTTCTGTACCTCTGAGCAGAAGTGTCACGGGGTTGGGTAGCAGTGGGTGGGTCAGAGGGTGGTATGAGTGGTTCCAGCCTTGGTCAGGGGATGGGGGAAGAAGGCTGGCCCAAGCCAGTGGCTGAAATGCTGGGGGCATTTCTCCTGTCTCCTCACCACCTCCCTCCTCAGCCGGCTCTGCCGAGCCCACCCCACATTGAAGGCCATCGAGATGTTCCACTTCCGAGGCCCGTCCCAGGTCGGAGACCGTCTGGTGCTCAAGGCCATTGTGAACAACGCCTTCAAACACAGGTGAGGGCCTGGGATGGGCGTGGCTGGGGCTGTTCAGGGTTGAGGGCTCTTTCTGACCCCAGGAAGGACCCTGCTGCAAGCCTTCCAGGAATCCTTTGCCCTCCAGACGAGGTCTAAAGCCCTGCCTGGCTGCTGGGTCCCTTCATCGTCACCCAAATTCACTCTGATACTCCCTGCTCTGGGGCCTCCCCTGACTCCCAGTCATGCCCACCCCGACTGAGTCAGGGCTGTCCTCTAACTCCCCCAGCCCCTGAACGTCCCCCCAGTCTCGGATCATACCGTGTTCTCAATGCTTCTCTTCCTCTCTCCTGCCTCCAGGCCAGGCCCATTGTGGGCGCTCGGATCTGGGGACCACTTCTTGCCAGTGTTCAGTTGTTCATCAAACCCTTTCCCACCGGTTTCCTAGGACAGTTAGTCTCTTAAGCCCTCACTTTGGAATGAATTCTGATGCCTTATCCCATGAAAGCTTACTTTATTTATTTATTTAGAGACAGAGTCTCACTTTATCACCCTTGGTAGAGTGCTGAGGCGTCATAGCTCACAGCAACCTCCAGCTCTTGGGCTTAGGCAATTCTCTTGCCTCAGCCTCCCAAGTAGCTGGGACTACAGGAGTCCACCACAACACCTGGCTAGAAAGCTTACTTTAAATAAGTATATTTTTTGGTGATTTCAAGAGATCATGATGTGATCATTAAAAGTGAGAAATATTGGCTCGGTGCTGAGCAGTGGTTAGGGCACCGGCCACATACACCAGGGTTGGCAGGTTCGAACCCCAACCTGGACTTGCTAAACAACAATAACAACAATAACAATAACAGCCAGGGGTTGTGGCAGGTGCCTGTATTCCCAGCTACTTGGGAGGCTGAGGCAAGAGAATCACTTAAGCCCAAGAGTTTGAGGTTGCTGTGAACTGTGACCCC